CGGTGTTCGTGAGAACAATGTAGACGATCTAACCCAAATGGAGGAGGAAGGTCTACTGAAATCTGACGATGACGACAAGCTCGCAGAAACCGGAAAGGAACGAAAAACGACTTCCCAGGGGCGAGTTGCAAAGACGAAGGATAGCGGATGCTTAAGCAAAGGCGAAAAGGTGCTATCCAGAAGTGAGAGAAGGCTGGTGTGGGCTGCCAAGCACCCTAACTCTGCTCCCTGCAAAGCCAGTTCCTCCGGGAACCAGGATGCTGGGAAAAAAGCAGAGCAAGGGTGGTACCCCCAAAGTTGACTCTAATGAAGCCTCCAGGAAGAAAGGTGGAGACTGTGCTAACGCAGCCACAAAGGATTGGCTGGTCAAGCAAGTTCATTAGCTGAGTCCTTTCAGGGAAATCCCGCTACGGCTTGCCCCAGCCAGAGACCTTGTGAAAGCTGTGAAGGTATATTTATGTGCCCAGCCCTACAAGGTCTGCGTATGAGATCCCTTGGCCTATTGATGGGAGATCAAAGGGAAGAACAGGTTACCATAGTCAAAAGGCTCTCACGGTTCACCAAGGACCTGGGATTTGACGGAGAATGAGGACCTGTGAACGAGGGTGCACAATAAGCTGTTCTAGCTGCGATGCAATCCCATGGTGACTTGTAAGCCTGGCCCTCTGTTAAAAAAAAACAAACAAAAAAAACACTGTTTACTAGGGGTTTCCATTCCCCCAATACCTTCCCCCCCTTTTCCTCCCCTACCTGTTGATATATTGTTTGTTCATTTTGCATGGGTGCCGTGACCTTGACAGGTTGTCTATTCATAACATGCCCGTCTCAGAAGCTCAGCGTTAGTGTATTTTAAAGCGGGGTCTCACAGGCCCAGGGTTTCGGTTAGCGTCAGCCTGGGTAGGGTTTCGGTTTTGGTGTTAAGGATTTCAAGAAAGGTGACACCTTAGCTAAGTACTTATTGTAAATGCTCTAGACGATTCGCATGTAGAATTAACAGCTACTTGTGATAGTGCTCATGAAATGTGGTAGAAGCTGTTGAGTATATATGAACAATCATGAAGTCAGAGACTGGATAGAACAATGGAACAGTTCTTTACACCTAGTATAACTGATGGAGAAGATTTGGTCAAATATATCTCAAGAACTGCCAGAACTTGTGTTTATGTCAAGGATTATGAGTACAATACCTAAAGAATTCTTTGAGTTCAAAAGTGAGTGGGAAAGCATACCAGTTATAGATAGAATTGTTGATTTTAGCTAATAGAGAGAATTCATCTGATTTGAGTCCACGCTACTACCTAGGTCAATGAATTCTGATAATGGACAAGCCTTACAGGTTAGTAGATATAGCACGAGTTCATTCTCAGAAGGCTAAAGGCATTCTGTAAAGAAGAAAATAAAGTGTTTTATTTGAATGGGACCACACTATGCTAGTCAGTGTCCAAAGAAATCAGAAAAAGAAGACAGAAACAAGACTGAGCCTAGAAAAGGTAACAGTGGCCCATTCTTGTGTTCTGTAGCAAAGGAGCATAGGAAAGACAACTTTATTGCAGACTATGGAGCATCGCAGCATATGTGTTTCTGGAGGGACTTCTTTCACACATTCTGTTTACTTCACCAATTAACGTTAACTGTGAAGATTTTGAGGCAGTTGGAGAGGGAAGTATTCGAGTAAGTGTGAATAACTTGTTGTGAGAACCGATACATCATAACTTTAGAGAATGTATGGTGCGTTCCCAAGCTAGGAAGGAACCTGATGTCAGTCAGCACAACAGTGAAGAAAGGATTTATTTTCAAAGTAACTATGTGTCTTCATGAAGAATAACGTAGCACAGCTGTATGGACATTGTGTAAATGTACTCTATGAAGATGAAATGGATGTTCTGTTGGCGCATGCAGAAGCTGAAACAGCGTGTAGAAGTAAACTCTAAACTGTCCAAGAGTGGCATGAATCTCTGGCTCATCAAAATAAGACACAGGTGTCAAAAACTCTTAAACGCAGGGGAATACAATGTAGGGGAATGTCAATGTAAGAAGAAGAATTTTGATGGTTGGGTACTAACAGAGCTACAAACCATTCACGGACTGTAAAGCCAACAATGGCAGGAGAAATAGTAAGTGAATATCTCTGTGGTCCTATGGAAAACAACTTTCTCTAGGAGGAAGTCGCTACTGCCTGGTTTTCAAGGACTACTATACTAAATTCAGAAGAGTGTTTTTCACCAAATTAAGACGGTGGTTACAGACTGTATTGAGACACACTTGAATGAATGTCAAACTGCTGGACATGTGGTAAAAACGTTTTTGAGTGATGGTGGGACTGAGTTTAATAATTTTGCAGTGAAGAAATTGCTTGTTAAACGAGGCATCACTATGAGAACTGTTATGCCATATACACCAGAAGAAAATAGTTCTATTGAACGTGAAATGTGCACGTTAGTTGAATCAGCCAGAAGTATGTTGTATTCAAAAAGGTTGCCAAAGAGCTTATGGGCAGAGGCAATGAACACAGTGTGTCATGTGATCAATCGGACAGGACCAAAAAGTACAGAGGGAACACCATATGAACTTTGGTATAAAAAAGAACCAGCGCCAATTGAACATTTTCGACCGTTTGGTACAGAATGCTATGTGCATGTCCAAAAACAGGAACGGAAGAAATGGTCAGCAAAATCAGTTCCTGGAAAATTGGTTAGGTATTGCAATGAATGATATGGTTTTCGAGTCCACAAAGGTCACACAATAGTGGTCAGTAGAGATTTTTTCTTTAAACCTTATCAGAAAGGAGAGGTTGTTCGAGCAGAGGGCATCACAGAAGATTGGGCCAAGACTGTTCCTGATGAAGACAAAGAACTTGACAAAACCGTATCCATTCCCATCCAATGCGAAGCCAAGAGTCAACCAATCAATTATCAAGAGGAAAATTAAGAAGCTGAACCCGACGAAATTGAACATTGTGAACAACTAGAAGAGGACGATCGACCGGAAAGGCAAAGACAACCACCTAGTTATCTTCAAGTTCAACGCTACCATCTTGTAAACTTGGTGTTTCTGAAGAGATGCCATCTCATCATTCAAAGCTGCCTGCCAATGAAACTACTCTTGTCTACCAACCGCCTCATTATAGGTTAGTCCAGCTTCAGCTACAAGAACATAATCTTGAAGACTTACCTGTCTACTGAAGACTATGTGAACTGCGAAGAACATATCTTGAAGAACATAATATTCAAGATTATGTTCTTTTAGCTGAAGCTAGACTAACCTATAATGAGGCGGTTGGTAGACAAGAGTGGTTTCATTGGCAGGCAGCTATGAATGATGAGATGGCATCTCTTCAGAAACACCAAGTTTACAAGCTGGTAACATTACCCAAGAACAAGAAAGCAATTGGTGTAAGATGGGTTCTTACAGAGAAGAAAAATCCAGATTGATACAAAGCTAGGCTTGTTGCAAAGGGCTACGCTCAGAAAGAAGGAGTAGATTATTTTAGCACCTACAGTCCTGTAACAAGATTTGATACTCTAAGGACAGTATTAAACACAGGAATGCATGTTTTTGAAACAATTGTATGTAAAAACAGCATTTTTTCATTCAAACCTAGATGAAGAGGTTTATGTCGAGCAACCTGAAGGTTATAACGACAACTCCAGAAGAGTGTAGAAACTACAACATAGTTTATACGGCCTTAAGCAAAGTCCTAAGTGTTGGAATAAAATACTTTCCGAGTTCATGAAATCTCAACATTTCGAACCAAGTCCAGCAGATCCTTGTTTTTTCTCTCAAGAAAATGGCAAAAAGATGTTCGTCATCATATATGTGGATGATGGACTCAAATGTGGTACAAGTGGATGTATTTGTGCAGAACTTGAAACAAACTTCGAAATCAAAGTATCGAAACCTGAAACTTACCTTGGAATCAAGATTGTTCAAACCAGTGATGGAATAGATCTCAGCCAGAGGGCATACTTAGATCACTGAAGGAACTTTTGAACCTCTCAGGTTTGAGGGCAAATTGAAAAATTATTTGAAACCTGTGAATGTCTACTGTGTATTAATGTTCTTTGAAAAACATGTGTTGTTTATTATTCAATAATAACAAAGGATTCTCTTTCTACTTATAACATGGGCTTTGTTAAATCATTAAACTAATTTATTTCATCCAACTTTTATTGTTTTTATTTACTATGGCCTCGTTCACACGGGGCGAGTTTAAAAGCTACTTGCCAGCATGTAATAAGTCAGCGAGTCGGCGAGTGCGATTGTATTTGTTCACACGGAGCTTGTCCACTCGCCAACGTGTAGAAAGACGCCGGCAAGTGCGCTTGTAGTCGTTCACACGGTTCTATTTCCACTTGCTCAGTAGCTGGCTTGAACCAAATCCTCCGACATCTTTGAATAACATGCGCACAAGCACAATAACTCGCCCTGTGTGAACGGGCGAATATTTATATTCACGAAATCCCAATAGTGTATTTGCATTTGTTGTAAGTTATCAAAATTGCAACTAGTTGGTGTGGGAATTCACATTTGTTGGTTGTGGACTGTGTAACTACATGGTAGTGCTTCATCAATCAATATTAAATAAGGTTTTGTTCTTCTTAGTCTGTTCTGCACACTTGCAATGTGTGTATAGTGAGTTTGCAGATTAGTTTTGTTGTTATGGTAAACCATGTTATCATAAACCAAAGAAAAAACCTTATTCTTTTTCTTTAATACCCAAGTTACTAAAAAAATGTGGCTTTATGAAGTTTCAGTAATGCATTTGAAATTTTGTTTGGGCTTGGAAGCAAAGGCTTAATACAATTTATGGAGCATCCAATATTTGGGTTAAAGAATAATATGGAATTAAATTAGTATTTTAGTACCACATAACATTGTTTTATTGAAAATAAATTGTAAAAAGGTCCCATATATAATAATTCTAATCTTATATATAACACCGTGACAGGGTTTTTTTTATTACCCTACAGTGTGCAGTTATGTTACCCTACTGAATTTACCTTTATTCAAATGGTTTAGTATTGAATCATCATCATCACTCCATTCCATAGGACTCCTGTCATCATCATCTGCAAAAAAATAATTACTTAATTATTTTATAGCTTCCAATTTAACTTTTGATAAAACCAAATAAAGCTATTAACGGTTAAAATTGGAGTTAGAAACAATACTACTTTGTCACGAGTTAAATATACACTAGTTATTAATTTTAATGTAGGCCTTCATTTAAATATAACAGTAGACATGGTTTGGTTCAGATGTTTGGTTTGGGCAACCAACTAAATCTAAATTAAATGCTGCACTCATCCACGCTTCACACTGCTTTGCCATGTAAACAAAGAAATCACAACCAACAAATTGTTTATTTAGTGCGGTAAAGGACATGAATGGTTGCTTTATTTGTTTATTTTGCAGTATATCAAAGCTAGTTTCATGTGAGGTTTGTCTAAAATGCCAATATTTACCTTAGTGCAGCTTCATGTCACAAGAGTGTTACTATGTCTAAGATTTGGTATTAGTTTACTTTGACTTAGATTTTGCTTTACTTTTTATTAAAAAAATTAGGGAATTTCTAATTTATTTACTATTTAATAATTATTATATAACCATCAGTTAATGTTCATAAAGTTTGTTGATGAGGCTCAACGTACAATAACAAAAGTTTCTCTTTGGGTGTGGTTATTATGTTTTAGAAAAAGCTGTACCCTTTTGCTATCCAGAAGGATAATGCTAGGATAATTTTTTTTACATGATTATCATAGATAGTTATCTTTTTAATTCATCTGTTAATTACTATTGATAAATACCTTCATATTCCATTTTGTAGTTATTCAAATTGTTTTCTATTTCTTTACTATGACTCTCTTTGTAACCGTCCTTTTTCCTTCTGTCCAAACTTTTACCTGAAAATTATAGAAAGCTTATGGTATCTATGAGTATTGAATGCAATACATGAATACCTCAGTTAGATTGTAACTTGCTTACAAAACTAGAAGTCAAACAAAGATATAGGTACAATAGATTGACTGACGTAACAATTAACACAGCCCCTCTGTGATTTAGCTCAAAAACAAATAATGATGAAGATAAAAAAAAACTGATGGTTTAGAGCTATTAAGCCAAAAGAGAAGGGATCCATTTTAAAAATGTAAGAGATCTGCTAACAAAAAACTTTGGAACAATTAGGATTACAAAGATCATTGTAAAGATCTACGTAAAATAATTAAGGTTTCAAAGAAAAACTATTTACTTTTGTTAATATCATTGGACTATTGTAAACTGAATTATATCAATAGTCAAAGGTTGTATCTAAATCTCGAAATGTGACCAAAAAGTCTTTAAATGTAGAAAAAAAGAATCGGGCAAAAAAAATAAAGGCAGTGATGAGCTGGTGATTAAATCTTGGGTAGTAAAAACTCCTGCAATTGCTAAGGACGTAAATGATTTTTTTTTTTAGAGGTGGCAATATATACAATCTTCAGCCACTAAAGCCATCATTTTAGTTGGATGCAAAACTCCTGATAAATACAATTACTGATTACATTATTATTACATTTAATTTGTTTACAGACTTTATTTATTATACTGTGATCATAAAGGAGAAAGGAAGGATACAAAACTAACTCACCTAAATAAAGAGTCCCAGGAGGTAGGCCTCCTGGTATGTGTACTCTTTTAGAACACATAGCAAGTACACATAAAACTGATATTTCGCTTCTTCAACAGGCTTCTTCAGAGGTAGAAGGTAGAATGGCAGTTACAGTTCTGGCACTGTTTTAAATGTCTCTGACTCTTTTAAGGGTCCTCCTGGGACTCTTTATTTAGGTGAGTTAGTTGAGTATCCTTCATTTCTCCTCAATAATTATTCCAAAGCCAAATTGATTTTTTTCCCTTTAAAAAACTGTGATCATAAAGTCAAAGTTTCAATCTTACTGTTAAAATTGGTAAATAAAATAATTTCCAGGGTACTATAATATTTCTTATTTGACTTAATTATTTAAAAAGTAGCCCATAAAAGTGAACAGAACTTGCATCTGTATGGCTTTGAACGGATAGTGTTTTTGGCCTCTGGTGACATCAAAACAAAAAAGGTCCTGTACATCGGTCTAAGGTACAGGTTTAACCATGAGAAATACGACAGTAATAGGTTAATAAGTCAGATAAATAGGTGTTTTTTGTATGAGAACTTCGCTAAAATCTCAAAAATCCCAACCAAGAGTAACCAGAGTATTATTTCTAATTTAATTATGCATCATTTTGTTTACAATTAAATTTAGGAAAACAATAACAAAACAGATAAGCAGCATACTATTATCTAGCCTATTTATAAACTTCATGGGTTCTAACTTTAAAAAAAAAATATTTATAATTTTTTCCTTTATTTGTCTTACATTTTACCATTCAATAAGATATTTTGTGCTTTATTACAGACCAAAATGTTTTTACTTTCATTGTGAAAACGATGGTACAAAAACATCTGCGGTAAAAAGTAATTGAATGACAATAATATTACTGTAGTGAAAAAGGTAAAATCTGCAAAAAGGTGCTTGTTGTTTTATTGCACTCGCAGCATTATAAGCCGGGCGTGTAGCGGGCCCAAGATCACTGGACAGCTGGCGCTCAAAGGGTTAAAAACTAAGCAAATACAGTAGAGTTCCGCAAACTCAGCGTAATGTGGGCTGGAAGGGTGCGGAGTTTGTGAAATTCTGGGTTATCGGGAACTAGGGTTAAAAATACGAACAATACAATTTTTAAGCTTAAGTATTAACTGCCTCTTTTATTTATATTTATACTAGCTGGCCCGACAGACGTCGTCCTGTCCTAATGTGGTTTTATGTCAAATGCTTGTTCATTTTCAAGATGAGCTCGTTCCCATGGCTCAATCACGTTCTGGTTGAAGTTCATTCGCTACGCTCACTCACCTTTAGGTTGGAGCTCATTCGCTGCGCTCACTTGCCTTCAGTTACATTTGACAACAAATATTCGTAAGAAACAAATGGAATAGAAACCTATTTGATAGCTCTCATTTGTTATGCATAGATTTGTTTTAAAAAATTAGGTTAGCATTACAACTGCTGTTTCCTTAATTTAATTTAATCAAGGAATGACAAACATGGCATGGTAAACAAAATAAAACATTCTTCCATAAGATTAACATGTAAACTGCAAAGGGCCATAGGACGCTTCCCTTAAGGGTTTTTGAAACGGAAACAGGCTATTGTGTTATTCTAGTACCTAAGGAATATCCCTGTAAATTTTCATGCCAATTGGTTCAGTAGTTTTCTAGTTATAAACGCTGTAAATAACACAACTTTCTTTTATATATTAAGATTACCAGTTAGTATTAAGTCATCAGATATAGTACAACAAATCCTTCGTACAAGCTGTGAATGATTTTACTTCAGCTGGCTTGTGTCCATGTTTTAACTCTAATTTTCTAATCACTAATTTTCTGAGCCAGGTGATGGCCGAGTTGTCCAGACTGCCGGGTTATCGAGTGCCGAGTTTGCGGGACTCTACACTGTAATTTACAGAATTGAGGTCTCAGGTTACCATCACATGAAAGGAGAGAGTATGAATCTCAGTTTTAACCACACCTTTAATAAGGGGGCATCGGACTTCTGTTTCTCATTAGAACTTTTAAAGTTACATTTTAAAACTTGTAAGAACTAACTAATGATTTTTTTTGTGATTTTAATACTACGGTATGTCAATTTAATTACACTTCTCTTTTTTACACTATTATAATTTAGGTTAATGCTAATAATCATCTTAAGCCTTGATTTTATTACGTTTAAACACTCACCAGACGCAGAAGATTTGGAGGAACTCTTTGAATCTTCCTCATTGCTCATATTGGTTTATTGCAGTTGTAATTAATTAAATATAAGGATGGCCTAAAAATATGAAAAGCTATATAAATTAAAACTCAAACAAATAATCACTATGGTAGGGCCTGTAAGTTTATATTTACATCATGTACATAAGTCTGCTGTTTTAGTTCGGTCAATAGCCAGTACAGTAGACCCTCTCTAATCCGGCACTGCACCACTCCGGCACTCCAGTAATACGGCGTATTTTGACAGGAGGTCTTCCGCGATCGCGGCAAAATTCTGATTATCTCCCGTGGCAAAATCAAGAACATCTCCCGTGGTCACGTAGACATTATCGTTGTCTTCCACGGTCGCGGCAAAGATTTTATCATCACGGTCATGGAAACGTCATCGTCGTCATGCCCGATCGCGGCAATAGTGGTTTCCGATCGCGCAATCTTCAGAGACGTGTTTTAATTGCATTTGAAGTGCTTTTATTGATAACATTCCAGTAATCCGGCAGTATCACGGTCCTATATCTGCCGGATTACTGAGAGTCTACTGTATTAAGAGTACTTAGCATATCATACACAGCAAAATGGCAAAATATGTACGTGTCAATTAAGCTGTTATTGACACTATTTGAGGGACTGAATAATTTGGAAAAAACATTTTCTTGAAGTTAAAAGATGTAGCTACAGCGTAGTAAGATAGAGAGGATATATTCAATATTCAATGGTATACTAAAGTGGTGTCAAGCACCAGTCGCTGGCATCTAGAGCAAATTCTATTCGTCGTCCCTTTCCTCCTCTTGCCATCTTGTACTACAACTGCTTTACAACATTAGTATGTATGGCCATCGCCATTCAGACTCTTTCTTGCTCGGTACAAGTACATTTCCGCTCCACCATACCAGAGCTAAAAGCGCATGGTTGTCCTATTTAAGCTTGTATCCTCTCTATCTTTCTTCTCTGTATGGCCTACATGATGTTTGATAACCTTAAATGTACCTATATTTTTGTGTCTCAACTGATTTGTTATAATATTGTAAAAAGGTTAAAATACTGTACCTGTGATTTGTTATGTTAAAAATTTGACATTTAAAAAAAATGTATAAAAACAGTTTGGAAAAGGTTTAAAATATATTTTAAGGTTAAAGATAGTTCCAGAAGCATTTCACTAAATTATAATAAATGAATATTAAATAAATAAAATGAAAAAATAAATCACAAATATTCTGGCAATAATGTTATAATGCAGAAAAAGCAAAATAAAATGCTAAATCATGTTTCAGTTTAAAAGCGTGAGGTTGGAGACATGGAGGTTGGATGAAACCTCAGCTAAGCTAACCATTTCACTAAACTTAGTTCTCCTTGCTGAAGTGAAGAGAAAGAATCAAACAAAGTGTAAGCGGCATAGAGGTTGTCGATCAGATCGCCCGGTGGCTAGCCATTGCAATCAGCCTCCTAGACTCCCTAAGTTACTCTTCAACTGAGCAGGGTCAGGTCCTTTCACTCCATGTTTATTTGTGGGTACTAATGATCTTGTGCTAGGGTATAATGGAGGGCCAGGATATAATGGGGGGTGGGGGAAGAAAGTGGTACTGCACTCGATGGCCGACCTTTTGTGTACGGCCAAAAGCAATTTTCCCAAAGCTAGAATCTTGTTGAATAGTGTCTTAATTCGAAATGACATAGGCCACAGAGCCCTTTCCCTCTTGTAACAATTTTGGGGTAGAATTTGTTAATGCATCACATGTTATTTCTAAGCGTCATCTGGCTAAGGATGGAAGGCACCTTAATCAACGTGGGAACCGTCTTCTCGGTGACTTCATGTTTCAGAACATATTTAGCCCGTATTGTAAGGTAACTTCTTGGCCTTCTTTGGAAGAGAAGCCCAGTGTATTGTCAGTTGAGCCGTCATGTTCTTCGATTGCCCAACCAATTTCGGAAAACTATGTGTTTCAGACCTCTCGAACTTCAGGATAGCACATGTTAACATCCGTTCTCTGAATACTGGATTTGAAGAGCTCTGTGCAGTTGTAGAGGATTTTGATTTTGATTTGTTGGGAGTCACAGAGACGTGGTTGTCTCATGTAACGTCTTCTGATGTATATACTATTCCTGGTTATGATATGGTTAGAAGTGACAGATCTTCTCACCTTGGTATGAGTGGAGGTGGTGTTGCCTTGTATATAAAAAAATCTGTAAATTTCCGCTCAATACAGCTCTGCAATGTTGATGATCGTCTTGAGTACTTATGTGGTGTTGTTTCTTTGAAAGAATCAAAGCTTTGTGTTTGTTTTGTATATAGGTCACCTTCTGTCCCATATACTGTTCTGAGTTCATTGTTGCATGGCCTGTTCATTGACCAGATGATGGAGGTAAATGCTGTGATTCTGCAGGGTGACTTAAACGTGAATCTCATGGAAAATCTAAAACCTGATTCCAAGTACTTGTCTTCTCTTCTTCAGTCCATGAATCTGAGTCAGCTTATAAAGGAGCCTACTCGTGTCACTCATCTGACATCCTCCCTCATAGACTTGATCATTGTTGACAGAGACCTTGTAGTAATGTTTTTATATAGTACATGATCAACTCTGACTTGTAAGTTTCTTGTTACTTCATGTATTACTCCATGCATTGGGCCGTTGGCTCTTTCTCAGAATAAACCAAGATGTCGAGCAACCAAGATGCGTCTTTTATTAATTAAAGCCCTACAAGTCCGACTAGCCCTAGTTCATGGCGCAGTCGGTGAAAAAGGTGAAGAAATATGAGTATTTAGTTGTATAAAACTGTTCAAGATGACTGGAGAAAAGTCGAATACATCTACAGAAGCAAAACCTATGGTTTTGCAAAGCGTCAATGTGCCGGTTCCACCGCCTGCTCAAATCCAATGGACAGGTAACATGAGTGAGAACTGGAAGTTTTTCAAACAGAAATTTGAAATTTTTCGTATAGCTTCTAAAGTAACTATTGAAAGTGATGACTATCAAGTAGCACTCCTTTTGAGTTTAGTCGGAGATAGGGCTCTGAAAATATATAATAATTTTGTGTTTGAAACCGGTGGTGACAAGTATAAACTTGACAAAGTAATGAAAAAATTTGATGACTATTTCATGCCGGAAAAGAATGTCACAAATGAGCGACATAAATTTTTTCTCAGAGAACAGAAACCTGACGAGAAAATAGACAGTTATGTTACCGAGCTTAGGGACTTAAGCTCAACTTGCAATTTTGGTGATCTCACAGATAGCTTGATTAGAGACCGTGTCATTTTAGGTATTAAAGATCTTGCCATTAAAGATCGCCTTTTAAGAACTAAAGATTTAGACCTATCTAAGGCCCTAGACATCTGTAGGACTGCAGAAATCACCAAGACGCAGCTAGAGGGTATTTGCAATACTAGTGGGGCGAGTGGGTCGTCTGCTGATTTGGACCGTATCCGTGTGGACAGAAGAGGTACGCCTCAACACCAAACTGCAAACTCTGCTAAGCGGAAACCTTTTCCACAGGTTCCTAAATCTAATAGGCCTACCTTCAGTAAGCCTAATTCTTTTCAACATGATAGGTTTGGAAAGCCTAAAAGTAAAAACGTATGTTTTCGTTGCGGTTACGCACACAAAGGGGATCATTGTCCAGCGAGGGGCAAAACTTGTCTGAAATGCAATAAATTAAACCATTTTGCAAGTCAGTGTCATTTAAGACAGTCCGTCTCATACCTCCGAAATTCCGATGATGCTGTTGCCGACAGTAATGACTTAGACGTAGCAGAGGACATTATATTATATATTATATATTATATTTGTTGTCAAGAGAGCCGAAGCCCCCTGACTGCTTACCCGGTACCTATCCTTCAGGACATACCCGGGCCCCATGATGTAGGCCGAAGCTTACGCATCAACCTTCATCACATCATGGGCGGATGACTTAAGGTCATCAGGCTCGCCGGCTGCCGAAGCAGACCCTTCGGAAAGAGGGTTGCCCCTCAATCCTAACCAGGGATTCCGGCTGCTTGTTTAAGCGTCACTCCACCTGGGTTCCACTAGGTCGGAACCTAGAGGTCCATAGTAGAGCGCCCCGACGCATTTAGTGCAAGCAACACTCGGGACCTATCTCATCCCTGACAGGCAGAACCCGCCATCAATAGCCAGGAGGAAGGGGACCATCAGCACGCTGACGGGGGGAACCCCAACCTCCCATTTACACCGCTGCCCGATCGAGGCCTGACCCATCGCTGGGAACCAGAGATATCCAGAGCGATAGATCCCCAGATACCCCTGGCGGGCTCGGACCCAGCACCCGATCTACTTCGTTTGCCCGTCAGACCCAACATCACTGCCAGGCCATCAGGGTTTCCCAAAAGGAGGCAGGTATAGAAGTGGGACCCACCCGGATGAACCTATCCACCAGAGGTGGCGACACCCTTGACTCAATTGAGGTTCCGGGAAGAACCCCCCACACTCAAGATAACCATACCGTCCGTGCTCAGAGACAGGGATAGGTTTGCATAAGTACCTACAAACCGTTGCCCTCACACTGCGGAAAGTTACGTTGCCCTTGAGTGTCCCCGTGAGCTGCGGGTACTTGCCCGTTTTCACCTCCAGGAAAGGTTACTTCCAAAGTCGAATTTGGACAGATTTTGTATAAGAATGGCGATGTTGACATTAAGTGTTCTTGTATGAAACCCTAAGGAAGGATGTGTTATTTAAAGCCTAAAGTGTGTAAGGATGTTAGGAATCATCTTCTAGATAGACAAAGTGTCCAAAAGCGTTATTTTGACAAAAAGTGATTGTAGCAGAGGACAGTCAGGAACTATTTTTAGGTAGTGTCGAGTCACAAACGAGTGAGTGCAAAGACTGGACGGTTCGCCTACTTATTGATGACTACTTGCCAGTGACGTTTAAAATTGATAGCGGCGCTCAGGCCAACATAATCAACAGTGATACGTTCAGTTTGCTAGAAATTGACAAAAATAATCTTGTTAAGACTGCGACAAGGTTACCCTCTTATTCAGGTCAAAACCTGGATGTACTTGGCAAGTGTACCTTGCAAGTGGCAATAAATGAAGATGCGCCTAAGCAT